CGTGTTGGGTCGCTACCCGCTGGACGACGCCATCGACCCTTTTTTCCTTTTAACAACGACTCTCGGAGCGAATCAGATGGTTCCTCCCGGACAGGCGACGTCAGCACCAGTCCCCGCTACTCACTCCCTCCTGGAGAGCGTAGTGTCGGAATGGCCCGGGCCTTTTTGCATCGGCGACCACACCGCTCCCAGCTGTCGGTGTCCTCCTCTCGGAGCTGCCCGGCATAATCCAGGAGGCGGCTGACATGAAGGGACTTTTGTCCGTCCCTCTCCTCCCCCCGCCCAGATCGGATGATCTAGCGGAAAGGTTTTTGGCTCCACCCCGGCTCGCCGTCCTGATCCCATCTGGCCTTGTTTCCCAGCAGTGACGTCCAACTGGACCGAGGCTACAGCCGGACCTAGTAGACGGAGAGCACCGGTTTCCACATTCGCGCCCATCACCAGAGTGGAGGGGTTTTACTGAGCGGAATTTCCCTCGGTGCCCCCATGGAGCCAAGCCTGGCGGAGGCTCTCGGAGCAAAGATGTCCAGGTTGGACCAGCTTCCTGCACCTACGGGGAAGAATGACCAGACGATGACGTCGATCTCCAACCAAGCTCACCAGTGTGCGTTCCAGGCGGCCACAGCGAACAATAAAGTTGTGCCGCTGACGTACAGCATCGCAGAGGCTGGAGGGAACAGACCTGCCTCAGGAGACGAAGAGCTCCCTCTGCAAGGTGTCTGACGTCACCCTCAACCTGTGCGCCTCGTCTGCTGTCTGCCTGTCTCGCATTGCAGCCTGGATGACAATGGTTCAGAGGTCCACCTGGCTTCGTCACTCCCCCTCCCTGTCGGAGAAGCTGCAGATGGACTCACTGGAGGGCCCCATCACGATGGACGTGCTGTTCGGAGCCAATTTCAAGGCCATGCTCGAGAAATCGAAGAAGTCGGAGGTGGTGTCAGAGACTGTGCACCAGCTGATCAAGCTGCACCCCCCCCCCCCCCCCCCGCTGGAGAGAATGCTGTGGCTAGAGACTGCAGAGGCGCGCCATAGCTGCAGCAGCGTCTTCTCACTCCACTCCGCTCCGCCGCCAGCCCCTCCCGTCAGAGTACAGCCCTCCTCATCCCGGCAACCAGTGGTGCTGCGTTTCCCCAGAGACCGCCAACAGGCGCCACCCTGAAACAAGCTGCAGGGCTCATGGGGGAGAAGATTCAAAAAATATTCATTGCGGAGGATGTGTGTGTGCATAATGATGGTTTGAGTTTTGGAATAAAACATAAACATCATTCAGGAATTAAAGTATCTGATTTCAGCCTGACTGTCAGTTCATATGATATCTCAGCGGCTTCTCCTCACACATCCTCCACACAAAGCGAGCCGGTGTCCTCCAAACAGGTTTTTAAATCACCGCGGCCCGAGAAAACACACAAAATGCGTGCGTGAGTGACACAGCAGCCAAAGTGAATGTTTTCAGCAGACCGAGTCCAGTGGGAAACCTCGTTCTCAGCCCAAGCTGTGCGCTGCCTCTTCTAACCGCAGCAGTGAGAAACGCGCACCCCTGCGGCAGTGGCAGCCCTCACCTACACGGCTCCGCATGCCCAGGGACGCGCGCGCCTCCCCTCAGCGCACGCCAGCTCACATCAGCACGGATGTGAGCCCGCAGCCTGAGCGTGGTACAGAAGCGCCATGCCCCCGTGGCACAGCAGCCCCCAACGTTCCCAAACGTTACGCGGAATGGCAGCGAGCGTGCGCTCTAGACAGATGGATGAACTGTCTTATCAGCAGGGGATACACGCTGCAGTTTGCAGCTCAAACCCCCCGTTTGGAGGAACTTTAGAGACTTTTCTGTCATCTCCAGAACAGATCTCGTTCCCCCACGCAGAAGTTCAGGAAATTCTGATAAAAAATGTAATTTCCAAGGTTCCAGAAGGAGAGGAAAACACAGGGTTCTACTCTCGTCACTTCCTGGTCCCAAAACGGACCGGAGGGATGAGACCCATCTTAGATTTGTCAATTTTCAACTGTTAGACAACAATCCATTCAAAATGCGTAGAGTCGGCTCTGTAGCCACTACACAGAGCAGGGATGAGAATTCTGTTTTATATGGACGACCTGTTGCTGCTGACCCGTTTTCCAGATAGCTGGCAGCAGTGCAACTCAGGCGCTGACATCACACCTGCAAAATCTGGGCTTCACCAAAACGGGGGGAAGAGCTCAGTTCACCTGGCCCAGATGATCGGTTATGTGGGAGTGAAGCTAAACGCGGTCACTACGAGGGCTTGTTTATCTCAGACGGGAACTGAAGCTCTAAAGACCAGCTCCTCCACGTGAAGCCGGCAGAGTGATAACAGCTGTTTTCCGTCATGAAGTTATTAAGGACATGTCGTCTGCTCACATGGTGCAACGCCTCCAGAGGTGGTTCGCTCGTTTGCGTGTGGACCTGGTGAGGCAGAAGAAACGGTTGATCGCTGTGCCCCCCTCAGTGAGAATCGACCTGAGACACTGGGAAACCCTCTTGTTCTGTCGGAGGGAGTCCCCATCAGCAGACCTACGTCACACGTGTCAGTCTTGACAGACGCGTCTCTGTCAGGCTGGGGAGGCACATGCATGTCTCGAGCTGTGGGGGCGCTGTGGCCACCCCACACAGCAGCTCATATACAGTGGGGAGAACAAGTATTTGATACACTGTTGATTTTTCAGGTTTTCCCACTTGCAAAGCTTGTAGATGACTGTAATTTTTATCATAGGTACTCTTCAACTGTGAGTGATGGAATCTAAAACAAAAATCCAGAAAAATACAATGTATGATTTTTAAATAATTAATTTCCATTTTATTGTGTGAAATAAGTATTTGATCATCTATCAACCAGTAAGAATTTTGGCTCTCACAGACATGTTAGTTCTTCTTTAAGAAGCCCTCCTGTTCTCCACCCATTACCTGTATTAACTGCACCTGTTTGGACTCGTGACCTGTATAAAAGACACCTGTCCACACACTCAATCAATCAGACTCCAGCATCTCCACAATGCCCAAGACCAGAGAGCTGTGTAAGGACATCAGGGATAAAATTGTAGACTTGCACAAGGCTGGGATGGGCTACAGGACAATAGGCAAGCAGCTTGGTGAGAAGGCAACAACAGTTGGTGCAATTATTAGAAAATGGAAGAAATACAAAATAACGGAAAATCTCCCTCGGTCTGGGGCGCCATGCAAGATCTCACCTCGTGGAGCGTCATTGATCTTGAGGAAGGTGAGGAATGAGCCCAGAACTACACAGCAGGACCTGGTCAATGACCTGAATAGAGCTGGGACCACAGTCTCAAAGAAAACAATCAGTAACACTCTACGCCGTCAAGGATTAAAATCCTGCAGTGCACGCAAGGTGCCCTTCCTCAAGCCAACGCATGTCAAAGCCCGTCTGAAGTTTGCAAATGACCATCTGAATGATCCAGAGGAGGAATGGGAGAAGGTCATGTGGTCTGATGAGACAAAAATAGAACTTTTTGGTTTAAACTCCACTCGTCATGTTTGGAGGAAGAAGAATGATGAGTACAACCCCAAGAACACCATCCCAACCGTGAAGCATGGCGGTGGAAACATCATTCTTTGGGGATGCTTTTCTGCAAAGGGGACAGGACGACTGCACCATATTGTGGGAAGGATGGATGGGGCCATGTATCGTGAGATTTTGGCCAACAACCTCCTTCCCTCAGTAAGAGCACTGAAGATGGGTCGTGGCTGGGTCTTCCAGCATGATAACGACCCAAAACACACAGCCAGGGCAACTAAAGAGTGGCTCCGTAGGAAACATCTTAAGGTCCTGGAGTGGCCTAGCCAGTCTCCAGACCTGAATCCCATAGAAAATCTTTGGAGGGAGCTTAAAGTCCGTGTGGCCCAGCGACAGCCCCGAAACCTGAAGGCTCTGGAGGAGATCTGTATGGAGGAGTGGGCCAAAATCCCTGCTGCAGTGTGTGCAAACCTGGTCAAGAACTACAGGAAACGTCTGATCTCTGTAATTGCAAACAAAGGTTTCTGTACCAAATATTAAGTTTAATTTTTCTGGTGTATCAAATACTTATTTCACACAATAAAATGGAAATTAATTATTTAAAAATCATACATTGTATTTTTCTGGATTTTTGTTTTAGATTCCATCACTCACAGTTGAAGAGTACCTATGATAAAAATTACAGTCATCTACAAGCTTTGCAAGTGGGAAAACCTGAAAAATCAACAGTGTATCAAATACTTGTTCTCCCCACTGTAAATGTTTTGGAGTGTCGCACTGTTTTGAATGTGATTCAACATTTTGCTCCTGTGCTGCGGAATCAACATGTGTTGATTCATACAGTCAACAAGTGACTGCAGCATACATAAACCGGTAGGGGGGTGTGCGCTCAGCCCAAATGTTACACATTGCGGGATGGCTGCTGTGTTGGGCACACCAACATCTGCTCTCCATCAGAGCAGTGTACATCCCCGGTGTTCTGAACAGAAGGGCGGATGTGATGTCCAGGGGCGGTCCGTGTCACAGGGACTGGAGCCTCTATCCCGAGCTGATGGCTCAGACGTGGCAGAAATTTGGCAGAGCGGCCGTGGACTTGTTTGACACATGAGAGAACACTCAGTGTCAACTATGGTTCTCACTGAGTCCGCGGGACGAACCACCGCTAGGGGTGGACGTGTTTGCTCACAGCCCGTGGCCCAAAATGTTTCTTTACGCATTTTTCCCACTCCCTCTGATATCACGGTTTCTGAACCGAGATAGGGAGGAAAGACTGACAGACCACCTGGTGGCTCCCGAGCGTGTGAACGCCCCGTGGTTCCCAATTCTACGACGCCTGTTATCGGAGCGCCCGTGGAAACTGCCGTGGAGGGAGGATGCTCTCCTCCAGGCGGGAGGAACGATCAGGAGTTACCCAGAAATAGGCATTCCAGTTCCAGTAGGACGTCACTGCCGGAAAACGAGGCCAGATGGGATCAGGACGGCGAGCCGGGGTGGAGCCAAAACACTTTCCCGCTAGATCATCTGATCTGAGCGGGGGAAGGAGGGGGACGGAAAAAAGTCCCTTCATGTAAGCCGCTTCCTTGATTATGCTGGGCAGCTCCGATAGGAGGGCACCGACGGTCGGGAGCGGTGTGGTCGCTGATGCGAAAAAGGCCCGGGGGGGGGGGGGGGGGGGGAGCCCCCCCCCCCCCCCCCGTCCGGCCTCCCTCCCGGCGAGGGGGGTGTCGTTCCGACACTACGCTCTCCAGGAGGGAGTGAGCAGCGGGGGCTGCTGCTGAAGTCGCCTGTCCCGGAGGAACCATCCGATTCGCTCCGCGAGTCAGAGATAAAAGGAAAAAAGGGTTCGATGGCGTCGTCCAGCGTGTAGCGACGCGCCACTGAGAAATATTCCTCGGTGCTTACCTTGAAACAAGGCTGCTCGTCTGCTTCTCCTCGGGGAAGAGAACTCACCGGGACGGCAGGAGGTTGGCGTGGCGGGACCACAGGCAGCCTTAACAAAGGTTGAGCTGGTGAAGCTGGACAACTTCCCTTTGTCATTCTTCTGACAGTGCTATTAGCTTGCTGAAGAAAAATGGGAGCCTATTACCCGCTCTTAACGTAATTTATATAGACCGGGTGGGGCCCACACAGCAGGTGGGCATGGACTAAACTTTTCAGTGAGACACTTTGCATGATGGGATAAAACCCACCAGCGACAGCCTTAAAGGGCGAAGCCTATACGAAATAGAACTTTGCCTGCAAGAAGAAAATTAGGGCGCTCCGATGAAGCCAGGCCTGGCTAAGCTTTACCATTCCATACCATACCATTTTATTTATAGAGCACTTAAAACAGCGACAAGGCCAACCAAAGTCCTGTACAGACAGAACAACAGGTAACACACAAAGCAAAATACAAAATGAAGTAAATCAGAAATATAGACATAAAAACGATGCAGATAATGACGACTAACCAATGTGGAGCATACAGGTTCAAAACACAGATCATCTGGTGTTGAAAGCTACAGAATAGTAGTGGGTTTTTAAACGGGACTTGAAAACCGAGAGGGAGGGGGCCAGTCTGACAAGCAGAGGTAACTCATTCCAAAGTATTGGTCCTGCTACAGAGAAGGCCCTGTCCCCTCTGCGCTTAAGACGAGTTCCTGGAACTGTGAGGAGCAATTGGTCCGCTGACCTCAGGGAACATGGTGGGACATACGGTTATAGCAGATCAGAGAAATGGGGGGGGGGGGGGGGGGCTGGTTCAGAGATTTGTAGACATACAGGAGTATTTTGAACTGGATTCGAAGGTGAACTGGTAGCCAGTGCAGGAAGGCCAAGACTGGTGTAATGTGCTCTCTTTTGCCTGTACTCTGTAGCTCTACGATAGCGTGATCCTCTAGGAAGCACTTCAACTGGGACTCGACTATTTTCTCCAGTATTTTAGAAACAAATAGGAGTCTGGAGACAGACCGGAAGTTGGATATGACTGAGGGGTCAAGGTTTGTTTTTTTCAGGAGAGGCTGGACAGCAGCATGTTTAAAGGTTTTTGGTACCACGCCAGTGGATAAACTACTATTCACAATAGTAAGAATGGATGGACCTAGAGTAAGAAAAACCTCCTTTAGTAGTCGTGGGTGGACCACATCAAAGGGGGAACCAGAAGGTTTCAAGCTGCACATGACCTGCTCTACAGAAGACAGACTGATGAGTTCAAAATGGTCAAATACAGCAACACACTGGGATGGGATGGACATATCATGAGCTGGAGGGGAAATGAGAGCCCGGGTGGTCGAAATTTTTTCCAAAAAGAAATGTAAAAAGTTCTCGCACAGCTCAGTCGAGGCTTCCAGAGGTGATGGTTCAGTGAGGTGGAGAACAGGGTTTAGGGTAGAGCAGAGGACACGTGGGTTGTGAGAGTTTAAGGTTATGATATCAGAAAAGTATTTGGATTTAGCAGCTTTTACTGCTTTCTGATAACAGCGCCAACTCTCTAAGTATTTGAAAAGAGACCTGCAGCCTGTCTTTCCTCCACTTGCACTCCGCCCTCCTGCACTGCTGCCTAACAGCCTTGGTGACATCACTCAGCCAAGGTTCTGCTCTGAGTTTTGATTTTCTATTTTTTAACAGGAGCGTCAGACATGATCCAGAGTCTTTAGGCAGACAGAGTTGAACTGGGATGTCAGCTCCCCAGTGGTGGTGAGAAACACCGGGGGTTGAATGATCATTTCAGAGTTATAAACATCTGTGAAACGTGCGGCAGTGAAATGGTTAATGGCCCGGCTGCGACCTGCAGGAACGCACGGCTTAGGAGTTAGATGGGGGAGGGTGAACTCAAACTGGACTGGCATGTGGTCTGAAAAAATATTATCACCAATAACAAGATTACTAACAGTCACATCCTGAGTTAAAACAAGGTCCAGTGTATGTCCGTGCTCTTGGGTAGGACCGTTTACAGGTCCTTCTCAAAAATTTAGCATATTGTGATAAAGGTCATTATTTTACATAATGTAATGATAAAAATGAAACTTTCATATATTTCAGATTCATTGCACACCAACTGAAATATTTCAGGTCTTTAATTGTTTTAATACTGATGATTATGGCATACAGCTCATGAAAACCCAAAATGCCTGTCCCAAAAAAATTAGCATATTTCATCCCACCAATGAAAGACAAGTGTTTTTAATACAAAAAACGCCAACCTTCAAATAATCATGTTCAGTTATGCACTCAATACTTGGTCGGGAATCCTTTTGCATGAATAACTGCTTCAATGCGGCGTGGCATGGAGGCAATCAGCCTGTGGCACTGCTGAGGTGTTATGGAGGCCCAGGATGCTTCGATAGCAGCCTTAAGCTCATCCAGAGTGTTGGGTCTTGCGTCTCTCAACTTTCTCTTCACAATATCCCACAGGTTCTCTATGGGGTTCAGGTCAGGAGAGTTGGCAGGCCAATTGAGCACAGTAATACCTTGGTCAGTAAACCATTTACCAGTGGTTTTGGCACTGTGAGCAGGTGCCAGGTCGTGCTGAAAAATGAAATCTTCATCTCAATAAAGCTTTTCAGCAGATTTCGGAAGCATGAAGTGCTCCAAAATCTCCTGATAGCTAGCTGCATTGACCCTGTCCTTGATAAAACACAGTGGACCAACACCAGCAGCTGACATGGCACCCCATTGACTGTGGAAACTTGACACTGGACCTCAAGCAATGTGAATTCTGTGTCTCCTCTCTTCCTCCAGACTCTGGGACCTTGATTTCCAAAGGAAATGCAAAATTTACTGTAATCAGAGAACATAACTTTGGACCACTCAGCAGCAGTCCCAGGCGAGATGCTTCTGACGCAGTCTCTTGTTCAAGAGTGGCTTGACCTGGGGAATGCAGCACCTGTAGCCCATTTCCTGCACACGCCTGTGCACGGTGGCTCTGGATTTTTCTACTCCAGACTCAGTCCACTGCTTCCGCAGGTCCCCCAAGGTCTGGAATCGGCCCTTCTCTACAATCTTCCTCAGGGTCCGGTCACCTCTTCTCATTGTGCAGCGTTTTCTGCCACACTTTTCCCTTCCCACAGACTTCCCACTGAGGTGCCTTGATACAGCACTCTGGGAACAGCCTATTCGTTCAGCAATTTCTTTCTGTGTCTTACCCTCTTGCTTCAGGGTGTTAATGATGGCCTTCTGGACAGCAGTCAGGTCGGCAGTCTTACCCGTGATTGCGGTTTTGCGTAATGAACAAGGCTGGGAGTTTTTAAAAGCCTAAGGAATCTTTTGCAGGTGTTTAGAGTTACGTCGTTGATTCAGATGGTTAGGTTAATAGCTTGTTTAGACAACCTTTTCATGATATGCTAATTTTTTGGGACAGGCATTTTGGGTTTTCATGAGCTGTGTGCCATAATCATCAGTATTAAAACAATTAAAGATCTGAAATATTTCAGTTGGTGTGCAATGAATCTGAAATATATGAAAGTTTCATTTTTATCATTACATTATGGAAAATAATGACCTTTATCACAACATGCTAATTTTTTGAGAAGGACCTGTATATATATGTATATATAGACTGCGACAAAGTTAAGATTCAATGCAATCCGCTGCTTCCTTATAACTTTTACTAACCATCTTTTTTAATGTATGTGAATGTTTTTATATTGGTGCTATATAAATAAACTGAACTGAATTGAAATATATTTTCAGTGATGAAAGGGGTACTGGGACAATGTCGGTGGGGTTGTAGACTGAGGTGGTGGACCCCACTCTTAAAAAGAGCAAACTGCAAGTGTATTCTAATTATCAAGAGATCACACCTCAGCTTCACTGGGAAAGTTTATTCTAGTGTGTTAGAAGATAGGCTCCATCAGATTGTCAAACCTCAGATTCAGGAGCAGTCTCTTTTTTGTCCTGGTGTAATAGTGTATCAGATGTTTACACTTGCAAGGTTGATAAGTGTCATGGGTGTTTAACTTGTCATTCTTATAAGTGCTTTGTGGCTTTGGAGAAGGCTTACAAATGGTTCCTCAAGGCATTCTATGTAAGGTGCTGTGGAAGTATGGGACAATCTTCCTTAGCCAAAGCTAATGTAAAAGCATAAGCTGTGCCAGCATTTTAAGCATAAAGTATTTGCTTTTTGCAGATGATGTGGTTCTGTTGCCATCTTAAAGTTGATTCTACATTAGAAATAGTCAGTTGATGTGGTCGGGACATTTGATTAGGATGCCTCCTGGTACTTCCATTTGAAAGCTTTCCAGACAAGTCCCACTGGGAGGAGACCCTGGGGCAAACCCAGAACTGCTGAAGGGATTTTTTTTCTAGCCTTGGGACATCTTGGGACACCCCAGGAGGAGCTGGAGTGTGTTACTGAGCAGTGTGATGTCTGAGTTTCCCTTCTAAACTCATTCCCTCTGCAATCCAACCGAACCAAGGGTAATAAGCAGAAAATGAATGAAATAATGGCACAGATATTTAGTAGCTGTAATCCATTTGGTTTATAAACTTATGGAAGCTGAATTTGTTTTGACTACAAGTTCTGTCAGTCTTATTTATGTTTATTTTTGCAGTACTAAAAACAGAACAAGTGAAAACAACATACTGAATAAAATCAGGTGAGTAAATCCTACCTGGCAGATCCGAATAGCATTGTCTAGTACTGTCTTGGTATCAGTGTTGTAGTCACTGCACGGCAACTGGGCGTGGCTGAAGTGGGCCTGCAGCAGCAAGTGGGTCTTGGTGTGGGCACTGTCAAAGGAGTGGGGGTTGACCTGAAGAGGGAGCTGCTGAGCCAGCTGGTTGTTGAGCTGATCTTCATTGTGTCTGACCGGCAGTTCAGAATATTCCTCTGCATCCTGGAAAACACACACAAACACACACAATAAACAGTCAAGTCTACAGGATTGAGAACAATTTAATCTGTCAATCTGTTTCTGAAGGCAGCCTTCTGAGGTTTCTCGGTACACAGTGTGGTGGTTTAGCACTGCTGAGGTAGGCTAAAACTTTGTTCCTCAGTTATTCTGCTTCAAACTCTTTAATTTGTTGTTGCAAATGGCTGATTCAGTGCTAAACCACCACCTTCCAACATCAGTAGAGAGGAGAGGGATGCACTCACCACTCTTAGCAAGGATAAAAACATCATCATTCTTCCAGCAGACAAAGGAAGGTACACAATGATTTTTAACCAGAAAGACTATCATGAGAAAGTTATGACACTCCTTAGTGACTTAACCACTTACAAACCTCTGAAAAAAGATTCAGGAAGTGGTTACAAGAAGAAGTTAATAGATTGCCTGAAAATTTTGGAGCAGGACAAGGCTATTGACCGTATTCTGTACCACACACTGCACCCAGGGGAGGCCACACCTAGTCTGTATGGTTTACCTAAAATTCACAAACATGGTGTACCTTGGGCGGCTGTGGCTGAGTGGTTAGAGCAGTCGTCCTCCAATGCAAGAGTTGGGGGTTCGAATCCACCAGCAGTAACATGCTGAAGTGTCCCTGGGCAAGACGTTGAACCCCTCATAGCCTCTGATGTGTGTCCCATCAGTGTATGAATGTGATAAAGCTCTGATTAGTCTCTTTAGAATTATTTGTTAAATTAACTTTGTATAGATCTAGTAGAGTGCTGTATGAATGGGTAAATGAGGCACAGATTGTTGTAAAGTGCTTTGAGCATCTTGAAATAAGATAAAAAAAAGGTGCTATTTAAGTACAGTCCATTTACCATTTACCTTTAAGACCACATGTCAGCATGATTAACTCGGTCACTTATAATGTTTCCAAATATCTGGCTCATCCCTTTAGTTGGCAGCTCAGAACACCACATACAGAACACCATGGACTTTGTGGATAAGGTGAGGGATGTTATCATGGAGACTGATGAAACAATGGTCTCTTTTGATGTCACATAACTCTTCACTTCCTGTTGATGAAGCAGTAGAGGTGGTCAGTTTAAGATTAAAATCAGACACCACTCTGAGCAGCAGGACCACGCTTTCCACAGAACAACTGTCAACTCTTGACCTGCAGTCAACCAAATTCACATATGAGGGTCAATATTATAGGCAGAAACATGAGTGTGCTATGGGGTCTCCAGTTTCTCCTATTGTTGTGTTAGATGTAAATGGATGGTAAATGGACTGTACTTATATAGCGCCTTTCTATCTTATTTCAAGATACTCAAAGCTTTTTACACAACAATCTGTGCCCTCATTAACCCATTCATACAGCACTCTAGTAGATCTCTACAAAGCTAATTGAACAAATCATTCTAATGAGACTAATCAGTGCTTTAGATCACATTCATACACTGATGGGACACACATCAGAGGCGATAAGGGGTTCAAGTGTCTTGCCCAGGGACACTTCAGCATGTGACTGCTGGTGGATTCGAACCCCGAACTCTCGCATTGGAGGACGACTGCTCTAACCACACAGCCACAGCCGCTCCTTTAGGTCTGTCTTTAGATGATCATTTATTCAACTTTTATTCAACGTTTATTTATACAAGGTAGCCACATTTGAAACAATACAGACCTGATCTTGTAGGGTTTCTGGGGTCTTGTCATACATGTTGTGTTTTTTGCCATGTTTGCCTGTCACCCCTCAGCACTTCTCCTCCTGTGATCCAGCACTGTCACACCTGTGTTTGATTCTAATAATGGCAGGTGCCTTTCATTTCACCTTGTTAGTGTCTGTATATATTCATCCCCTTGGTGTCTTGTCAGTGTCTCTGGATTGTCCTTGATAAAATCAAATTAAACCAGTTCTGACCATTGTTGTCAGATTTTGGTCTTCGGGCCGGTCCCTTATTTGGAGTTGTTTACCACTTTTGCTTGCACACACACTGAGATAAGAACACCACACAATAAACACCCAAAAAAACAGGTAAGACCAACAACTGGTCATACATAGGAAAATTACTGATACACACAGACAGAGCTCTGGACTCTCAGTGAGGGGCAGAGCCTATAACCTATAAATACAGGTACTTATGTTCCCCTGTGTTTGAGACGTTGTCCGTCGAGACCAACTCAGGGGTGGTTCTGATCGAAGTCTCAGCGCTGAAACCTGTAACTTTTCCTGCCTTGTCAAGAGTAAATGGTCAAAACTTCATTATTCTCATCGTTATTTATGTCAGTGTCAGTTTTTCTCCACCTGGGAATAAAAGACCTGGCATTAAACGTTGTGGTCACACACAGCAACAGTTGCCAAACTGCACATGGAGGAGGTAGAAAAGAGAGCCTTGACGTCCTTTTCAGGAACACCACCAAGTCATTGGTTCAGGTATGTTGACGACACCTTGGTTAAAATTAAATCTCAGGAAGTCCAACATTTCACTGACCACATCAACTCTGTGGATAAATACACCAAGTTCACACGAGAAGATGTAAAAAATGGCAGGTTGACTTTCTTGGACTATGAGGTCTCAGTCTCTGAAAGAGGACATTTGCAAACTGAGGTGTACCACAAACCCACCCACACAAACCAGTATTTGCAGTTTGACTCCCATCACCCTTTGGAGTACAAGTTAGGAGTCATCAGGACTCTGTACCACAGAGCAGACAGCATCCCCACTAACTCAGGAGCCAGGCAGAAGGAGAAATCCTACACAAGACAGGCTCTAGAGCAATGTGGATATCCTAACTGGGCCTTCCTGAAAGCAGAGAAGAAACCCAAACAGGACTCCAGTCAGCAATCAGGTGAAAAGGAGGAACCCAAGCCCAGACCAGTGGTCATTCCGTATGTTGCGGGAATATCAGAGAAACTGAGACGTTTATTTTCTACACACAACGTCCCAGTGGCTTTTAAACCTGCCACACCCCCTGACAACAGGAAGTATAAAGTTTTACGTTGAACGATCCCTATCTGACCTCTGTTACCTGATCAACATGATAGTGTGTCCAGTGACCGAAGACATGTTGGTGTAACTTGCTTTCCAACACTGACAGTTTTGGGTGGAGCATGTGGGCGGTACGGCGTGGCGAAGTAAGACATAACGCCATCGCCATACGTTTGGCTCTAAATCCCATAGTTTTGAACCGAAGTGCACAAAAATCAGTATGATCCATCATTATCCAGCCCTTGAACAGGAAGCCATGACAAGTAGCCAATAGCCTCCACAGCGCCCCCTAGAATATTTAAAAACCTCAGCCCCAAGCCATTTTTTGACTGATAATTCTGAAACTCTGTGAACTTCTGTATCTTAGGTAAAAACATCCCTAATGCATCCTTACATTTCTATGCTGATGACACAGTTGTTTATTGTTGAGCTAAAACTGTTGCTAAGGCTTCCCAGCTTTTGAAATCTGCATTCAACATCATCCAGACTGATTTGTTTCGCCTCAAACTTGTCCTAAATGTCGACAAAACCAAAGGGATGCTTTTTTCAAATAGGAAGTTGGTCCCAGCAGTTCTTCCTCCGATTTTATCCTTAAATGGTGCCCCCATTGAGTTTGTTGATTCCTATAAATATTTGGGTATCTTGGTCGACTCACATCTCTCTTTTAAGCTCCATGTGGAAAACTTGGTAAAGAAACTGAAAGTTAAACTGGGTTTCTTTTTCAGAAACAGATCCTGTCTAACCCCGAATGCTAGAAAACGCCTTGTATCTGTGACTTTCCTTCCCTCAATTGATTATGGTGATATTATTTACATGAACGCTCCTACAAGAACCTTGCAGATGTTGGATGCTGTCTATCATGGTGCACTAAGATTCATAACTGGCTGTGATTATCGTACCCACCACTGCACCCTGTATTCACTGGTTAACTGGACATCATTAACTTCACGCAGACTCTCTCACTGGTATATTTTCATCTTTAAATCACTTCTTGGTCTGTTGCCTTCATACTCTCTGCGTGAGTGCAGCTACAGCGTGCGCTCACAGGACATTATTACCTGCAGTGTTCCCTCAATGAGGACTGAACTAGGCAAAAGGGCCTTCTCCTATTCCGCTCCTGTTTCCTGGAATATCTTACAAAAAGATTTGAAGCTCTCGACCTTGGCCTCTCTAAGTGTCTTTAAGAATCTGTTGGACACCTGGCAGGGTCCAATGCTGTCATGTTCCTGTTTTTAGTTTTCTACATTTGTCTTGGAATCTAGCTGTTTTTTTGTTTTGTTACCTTTTCCTTTTAGCCATCCTATTTGTTAAAAAAAAAATAAAATAAAAAAATAACTGTAGTATGCTTTTTTATAACTGTTTATTGTTGTTGCTGTTGTCCATTGTTGTCATCTTTCTTTGTTGAAATCAGGTCTCTCTTGAAAATGAGTCCTCGAGGCTCAATGGGATTTACCTGTATAAATAAAGGTTGATTGATCTTCTCAGGACCTATGAAAAACTCTCTTGGAGCTCTGGTCAAAACCAACAGGAAGTCGGCCATTTTGGGTCAAAGTTTCATTTTTGGGCATTTCTGATTGCAAAATTTAACAAACTCCTCCTAGGAATTTTGAAGGATTGTCTTCAAACTTGGTTGATATGCCCTTAAGACATTGGAGAGTAAAAGTTATCTAAAGCTTACATTTTCGTATATGCTAAAGGGGCAGGCCAGGCCTCAAATTTGAACTTCACACCATCAATTTCCCAACACTATAACTTTCACACTGAAAGACCAAAATGCACGAAACTTGGCAAGACTCATCCCTGTTGGATGCCCGACGATCTATTGTGGTCATATTTTGACGTCAACAAAGCCCCGCCCCCTCAGAACAGGAAGTCTCTTTTAACTTGGAATGCTCCCTCTTTGCAGCACGGTGGCGCAACTGGTAGAGCTGCTGCCTCTCAGCGAGAAGGTCCTTGATTCAAACCCCGGTCCAGGGGCCTTTCTGGGTGGAGTTTGCATGTTCTCTCCGT